TCTGCCAGAAGTTGACCATAGAGTTGTGCTGGAGGACCTAGAAATTACTAGAGAAAACACTTCTCTAGACATTTGTGGGTCCTCTGGCGTGATTCCGTCGTCAACTTTTGCCAAAAGTCACATTTTTGGGGGAGCTAGAGAGAACTGTTTTGTGGACTTGATTATTCAAGGACTATATCATGGGTAGGCAACCTTTCCCCTTTAAGGGCCGAGGGACTTCAGCTCCCAGAAGCCTCAGCCATGTTGGCCAATAGCTCTTGGGATTCTGGGAGCTGAATTCCCTTGGCCCTTAAAGGGGAAAGATTGCCTACCCCTGGACTACATTAATATGTTCTCCCTAGAGATCTCTAGGTCCTCAAACATGGCTCTATGCCAAGTCACTTTTTGGGGGGACCTAGAGATAGGATCCTAGAGAGAATGCTTTTGTGGATTTGACTATTTGTGGACTTGAATAATGTGTTCTCTCTAGGAAACTCTAGGTCCCCCAGCATGACTCTATGGTCAATTTTTGCCAAAAGTCATGCTTTTGGGGGACCTAGAGATTCCTAGAGATAACACTTTTGTGGATTTGATTATTCACAGACTTTATTAATATGCTCTCTTTAGGAATCTAGGTTCTTCCAGTGTAGTTCTGCCAGAGGTTGACCATAAAGTTGTGCTGGGTGTCTTAGAAGTTCCTAGAGAAGACACTTCCATAGTCCTCCAGCATGATTCTGTAGTCAATCTCTGCCAAAAATCACACTTTTGGGGGACCTGGAGATTCCTAGAGAGAACACTTTTGTGGATTTTATTATTTGTGGGCTTGAATAATGTGTTCTCTCTAGAGATCTCTAGGCTCTTCCAATGAAATTCTGCCAAAAGTTGACAATAGAATTGCAATGGACCTAGATATTCTTTGAGAAAACACTTTTGTGAATTTGATTATTCACGGATTTTATACATATTTTCTCTCTAGGAATATCTAGGTCTTCCAGCACAACTCTATAGTCAACTTTAACCAAAAGTCACACTGAATGACCTAGAGGGAACACTTCTTGAGGCATTTGTAGGTTTTCCAATGCAGTTTCATTGTCAGCCTCCGGCAGATCTTGACCACAGAATTGCCCTGGAGGACCTAGAGATTCCTAG